AGAGATATTATATTGCATTCAATATTCAGAACTTTTTCCATACTCTTCAATAGCTCTTTTCACAATAATACGCATTTATCACACATAATATCAAATACAATATATCGTTGAGCGCTGCATAAAGAGGTGCGCGTGCGAACGGGCGACTTCATTAAACAAATCTCGGCCCGGTTTATTATCCACACATTCTCGATCCACCCACAAAGCGTGTCATTTGTTTGCGCTGCTTCGCATAGAGAGAAAATAATAAAGTGTGTGTGTGGCCCCGGCGCGCGCGCGCCCGTTGCAGTTATTAGAGGGCCGCGGGAATAATAAAGTCGAGGGTGTATCTCAATCAGTAAGAGCAGCGGCGTATATAATGTATTCCGAAAATACACACAAGCCGCGTGTGCGTTCGCTGTTCGCATTTTTTGCGGCTCGACTTGAGGGGCTTGAAAACGCTCTTGATGGTGACAATATCGGTGGTCGCGTGCCGCCATAATGAGAGCAGGGGTTGTTCACTCTCCAAGAAAAACACGGCAACACTTTCACCCAGCATTGCACTCTCCTGACGTGACTAATTGTCTTTTTGGAAATTCCAACTATATCTCTTTGATTTACAATTCTTTTCCTGCTCAAACAAAATGTCATCGGCATGCCTGCCTTTTTATTTTTAATAAATTTAAACCACAATAATTCATATAATACCTTAAATAATGATATTTATTTTATTGATAGCGGAGTTTTGGATTTTACCTTTAAGCATAGAACTCCTTATATTTTTATGAAATATTATCTTGAGGAGTGAGAAAAAATTGATTCAATTATTTATTTTTGTTTGTGCAATTCTAGATAGATTTTCAAAATTTTAGAATAATTGTAATCGTATAATATGCAAAACAACCAGAATTTCCAAGAGAAATCAATGCCACGTTTATGAGGCTTATTAAAGCAAGTTGATACGGCAGTATATTATTTATTTAGTTCTCAATTTATTTAAAACAAATTAAAATATACTTGTAAATAATAAAAATTGGTAATATTATTTTATAATTAATACTAATGTAAAAATATAAACAAATTAAATTAATAATAATAAAATGTACAAAATTTTATGATGAAATTATGAAATAAATCATTATTTAAAAATTTTTATTATATTTTATTTTTATATTAATGTGTATTTGTTTTCAAAAAGTTAAAACTCAAGGAGAATAATTATGATGTTATCCAATGGATATTTGGATAATGTCTATATAAAAAAAGATCAAAACGTTCCATTTTATAATAATTGCAATCATTAACTTAAAATAATTAAGTTCATCATTGACACAACTTAATCATTGTGCACGTTCTTTTTACGTATGCCATAGTTTGAAATATGATGCACATAAGTGACATGCAGCCATCTCTATACATATTTCAATTTTGCAGCTCGGGTCGGAGCAAAATGTAAATTCCAGCCAGCGATCCTTCCCCTTAATATACATGCTACCAACAAAAGAGGTACATGCACGTACAATATAATACACTTTTATTGTGTAGAAGCAAAGGGTTGTCAAAGCGCAGCATTGTAGCCAACTCTCTATATGCATGAGCCGCCGTTCTATTAGAAAAAAGACAGCAGCTCAGTAGTTTTAATATTGTGCGCCAAGGCTTACAGAGAATGTACATCCATAGAGGGTTGCATATTATCCATTTATGTGCGCGCGCGATGCATCCATCGCTCATAGTGCTACTATTCAATAAAGATAGAGCGAGAGCAAATGCTCACAACAAACAAATCCCTTATTTTTCGCTGTGAGCACAAATGCTGCCAATCCCACACTCGACTCGATGCAAATGTCATCAGCACGCAGACCGAGTGAGTAGGACATTCACTCTCTGCTCTTTTGTGAGTAATTAATACAACACAGATATACTGTGGAGCAGGCCACTTAGTAGTTGCAAACACACACATGTCCTCTTTTGAAAGATCAAGGGGTCTCTTTTACGGGATTGCTATATAATGCGTTCAATTGGAAAATTGAGATGTCGAAACGGTAAAAATCAACCATGTATGCTTCTTCACTTCGCACGTTAATTTGATCAAATACAAATTTCATTCTTGTCATCACATTCCAAGTTATAAGGTAAAATATCACTCATGCTCTTTTTCATTTAGCGTTGATGGCGTTGATAATATCGCATGTTTTGGTTTTAATCTATTTTTATTACCGTACTTCTGTGACTAAAATATTTAATAAATCTGCGAAAAGAACAAAAAAAAATGAAATAAGTTCAATCTGAATATTTAAAGCATCCATTATGATTTTGTTTGAACACTTTGACATGCATGATTCGTTTTGAAATTTTGGTTCAATATTTTTTTTTTTTTTTTTTTTTTTTAATTTAAATTAGTACTCTTGACTCTACGCCTTTAAAATTTTTTTAAAAATAATAAGAATTTTTTATTTATAGAAATGGAAAGCAATATAGTTATAAATTACAAATGTCATTAGTTAAAGAATTAGGTTCCCTTGCTCGTAATTGATATTTCCATTCGTTATCATATCATCTAACACAGTAAAACATTGATTTAAAGAAATATAATTATTAAATAATTGGAATGTTTTCTAGCGGGAACAATTTTTCAACAACACATAAATTTTTTTTAAATAATCAATAAATTTAATAAAACAAAATATTATTAATTATCATAAATGTATAATAAAAAATAAATATATGTGGGCAATTTTGAAAAGAAAAAGTTTTAAATTAATATAGTTTTTTTTTTTTTTTAAATGCAAGCAAAAAAATAATAGCCCCTTACTGAAGTTAAATGCAGCGCAGCACGCTTTTATGCCCATTTAGTTTTGACTCGCAAGGGACTTTCAAGCGTGTTTTGAACTGTCGTTTAGCTGATTATTTGACAAAGGGTGAAAATTTCGGTGCAAAGTGGCTGTGGAAATTAGTCTTGCCCTCTCCTTACTTAATAATAAATCCGAGGCGGGTCAGAAAGCGCAGGAGGCAAGCAAGGGCGAAATTCTGTTTACGCCTCAAGGAAGTGGAAGTAATCACATTAGAATGAAACTGCCGCGTGTCCACCTCAAAGGTGCTGTCTCGGGCGTGCAACTTCTTGGGGTGCTCGAGCGGCCCGGCCGAGCAAAGTTAATCAAGTCCGAAAACCGCCATCACAATAACAACATCAACAATTGCCGCGCCGTTGTGCCCGAGCGGCAAACTTTTGTGTGTTGTTTAAGAGCAAGTTTGACTTCTGTGATGGTAATTAATAAAGGAGTCGCCCTCAGCACTCGCGGCTACTTCTCATTGTGCCGCCGCGCCGCCGCTAGCTTCTGGCCCCTTGCTAATTGTGCAAACCCATTTCAATGTGAAAGAGCCAAAGAGAGAGAGAGAGAGAGACGAGCCACATGGGCAAAGAGAAAGCTTTCCTCCTCGGCTCTTTTGCCCATTTCAAGACTCACTTATTGCTCACAGTCGCAGTGAGCGACGACCCGAAACTGGATTCGCTTTGCAAAGACGTGGCACGAGTTTTCTGAAAATTGCAATTTTTCAACCAAAATTTTATAAATTTATGTAATATTTTTGCTAGGATTGTTTTTTCTTTGGCATAAATTATCTGATATTATAAGTTTTATGTTGCGCCAAATTTCCAAAAAGTTGAAGATTTATTTATGTTGAATTAAATATTAAATATTTAAATATATATTTTGAGGCGAGAAGAAACGCAGGTATGTTTATGCTGCCATGAGAAAAAAAATCACAGTTTGATGTAAATTTAGTTTTATTAATTAAATCCACACAAAAAAACGCTTCTTATGTTTAGATATTATACGTTAAGATTGAAAATAATTTATGTTCAATCAATGAAAAGAGCAATTTTTGTCAACTCATGAATCCTGAGATACAATTTGATTTGTCCTTATTACACCGAGAAAATCGCAAGTAATTCAAGTTTTGACTTGACAGTTAATATAAGTAGTTAGTACCATTCCTTAAATATTTACAATTGTGTTCGTTTATGTTATATTTTTTTACTTTACAACTCTAAATATTAAACGTTAGAAAATTATTTGTTTGTGGATGAAAATCTTCTTTATTAAAATGATTTATCAGAAAACACTCTATGAAAATTTTGCTCCATTTTATGTTGAAAAATGAAATGATTAATTGATTAATAAATGAATTATCTATCCTATTTATGCCCAAAAACCCAAAGAGTAAAATTGTAATCTCTCAAGTATTTATTAACATCATTCAGTTCAGTAGATTTATATAACAAATGCAGCAACTATTCTATGGTATAATTTGTAGAAAAAAACTCATTAGTTATTATATTAAGCCATATATAATAACTACAACTACTATTATTTCAGACCATTTTATTAAAATAATAATGAAGAAAAATATATTCTTTAAAATGAACTATATAATATTAAATAAAATCAAAATTGAAAAGATAGAGCTTTAAAAATATTTTTATGACAGTTTTAAATTTATTTTAAGCTATAACATCTCGAGAAAAATCTTTTATTGCTTTTTTTAACAGTTCTAAATTATTCTTTTAAATTTATATTAAAAGTATATATTTTTGACGACAGTCAAAATACATACAATGAAGACTGACCTTTATTTATAAATTTTGAAGTGCGACTATAAAACGTGAGATAGTTTTGTTCATTTTTTGTCATATTTTTGTTGAAGTATAATTTTAATTTATGGATGACGGTATTTTGGCAGAATGCCCGCGATTGTACCTCTAAAATTAACATTTAAAACTACATACTTATGATACCCACTCTTATCATTTGGCTGTGATATTAAATATTAAACCACAATGAAATGTTTAAATAAAAAAAAATTAATAAAACACCTTTGGTGTTTGCCCATCCACGTGCTCAACAAAAAGCCCCGCATGACCGCGCATATACAAAACGTCAATAATTAATTTAAAACTTTGATCAAGAACGGACACGGTGAGAATGAATGAACGAAAGGTCAGTGACCTGCGGGGTGCCTACCTGCCAGGAGTTGGAGTCGAGGGCGAGGAAGGACATGGCGGCGACCTGCTGTCTGTCGGCCCACGACGACAGATGGGCCTGCGGGCTGGTCAGTTGGTGCTGCTCGGCGACGACGTGCGACGGCGGCTGCTGCTCCCGGAGGCCGACCAGCTTGGACGCTCGGACGACGAGTCGGACAGGACAGACGACGACGACGTGCTGCGGCGCTGCTTGTGCAAGGTCGGCCTAATCGGTCGGCGGTGTTTGGCACAATATCGAGCTGGCGCTGCTTCAGGGCGAGCCGAGTGCACTCGCGGCGAGCCAGGCATGGGCTACCGTGGTTGGTGATTCGGCGCGAGTGCGCGGTGAGATTGTCTCCTGGCACCCGATACACACGGCCTGCCTGCCTTCTGGTTGGCTGCGGGCTATCTATTCTCTCTGCTCCTGTGATAATATCGATTGATATGATGACACGAAATTCTCTCAAGCCCAGCGCCATCCGACCCTTAATGCTCGCCGTCGGCCCGTTTGATTTAAAAAAAATTTATATCCGCAATTTCAGAAGAAATATCCCTTTACATATTGGCGCTGATTATTTGACTAAAAAAACCTTCAATATAAAGTTAAACTAATTGGCTACATTTGCCTATGCTATATTTTCATCTCTTTTTAACATTCAATTAATTTCTAATAATTTGATTTGGAATTTTTGAAAATATGTATTTTGGTAGATATTGCCGATTGATTGATAATTTGCCACATTCACTTTTTGAATCAAATAAAAATGTTGTTTATTATTTTAAAATTTCAAGCATTAGGTTCGGATCTCATTAAAATTGATTTTGCCCATCATAGATTAAAAATTATGAAGTCATGTTTGTTGTTTTAAAATCTAAACATTTAAAAATATTATTATAACTAAAGCCTTATTTAATAACTTTTTAAATAAAAATAAACTTTTTTCATTAAATTTGTAATATTATAGCATTTATTTTTAAAATTTTAACAAAAATGGCTATGGTATTTAAAAAATTTTTGTATTGAAAAACATGATTAAAAAATTATAAAATATCAAACAAATACATAATTTTAAAATAAAGCTTCATAATCACAATCATTTCCATACCTATTTCTAAACTAAAATTAATCAGACGACAGACAGCATCGAGAACTGACTTTAATTCTAAGTATAATTAATTAATTATGTAATAAAATGTAAAGGCTTCATTAATATTTAGTGCTATTTCAGTCTATGGATATTATCGGAATTTGGAGTCATACCTGATTTTAAATCAATTTTAATGAGACAAGTAGTGTAATTTTTTTCTAACCTAAAATGAATAAATCATAGAATTAATATTTCAAGATTAAGTAATGGATTCTTATGTTTACGTTTTACAATAAATTAAAAGATTTCTTCAATTAAATAAAAAAAATCAGAGTTTAAAGTAATTTAAGTCTTATGTTCTATCGTTCGATTTGAATTGAAATTAGTAACAAAATCAAAAAATTAATAAAACAGGCAGCGAAACGCGCGTATAAATAATGAGGGCATTAAAAATGAAGATATTTGGCCAAATTACCGCCGCCGGCCGCATAGCATAATGACAATTTTATAGCTCGCCCGTGGCGCCAATAAATTAAAAGCTGAACAAATCGAATATCCGCGTGCGCGGAACAAGCGGCTGGCGCGCATAATGAAATTTATCTCGGCTTAGCATAAATAACCATAGCGCAAGAGTTGATCGCGGCTTGTGTCACGCGTGCCCCGCCGCGCCAATCCGTGCACTACCATTTTTGCATAAAACAACACAAATACTTTATACATATAGAGCGCAGCGTATGGGCCCACGGGCACCAGGTAACACTTTGCATATCAATTTCACCTTGTTTGCATGTACTGTTCACACACACCACCGCACCGGCGCGTGCGGCAGCATGATTCGTGAAACATTGTGCCGTATGGGTATTATGTGTGATGGGTGTAGTGATTTGCCACATGTAACCGCGCCAGTGCCATCAAATTGCGATTGTGAAATATTGGCGTGGCGCCCCCGACAAGTTGCGGAAAATTGACATACTCGTTTTTATTCTATTTTATTAAGAGTAAGGATTAGAAGGTGGAAAATTTACTATCCAGCTGACTCAATAGAAATAAACGTATAGAAAAATAATTTAGTCTATATCGAACGGTTGTAGAAAAACAAATTTGGTAAATTTATTGTTTTTCAATTATTATTAATATATAATGCTATATTGTTTTGCTATTCTTTACTCAAGATTATTAGAAATTGTTCATTGTAAGAAATTCATTTCATAAACAGGTGTTTGGATAAAAAATAAAGCAAATGGAAATAGTTAATTGTCTATTAAAAAAAAAGTACAAAATATATATATTTTTTAAATTATTTAACAATATTATTTTTCAAAGGAACAAAAATTATAACTTATTTAAATCATTATTTTTAATATTTTCTGCTTTTATCATTTTTAATGAATAATAAATAAACTACAACTTTGATGATACACTAAACTGCACTAAACACATAATATGCATCAAACAATAAAAATAAATTTTAATTAAATCGTGAACCACAGGTAACTGTAGTAAAATTTAAAAAATTCTTGTATAAATGGTAGAACTATAGTTATTACTGAAGTGAATTCTATAATAATAAATTAAGAATGAAATTAAGCAATTCATTAACTAATAAAAATCTTTTTTGTATTAAATTGAATAGAGCATAATTACCTGCTGGGTTTGGAGAATTAATTTTTGATTTTAATATGAATAAGCAAAAATATGCTTCGCTACATGTTTTGGCTGCGGGATGTATATAGCGATGATTTATGTGAATTTGTGATTTTTTTCCAAAAATTATTTGCAATATTTAATTATTTTTTAAATTAATCATGCCATTAAAAAAATGCTAAACTGAAACGGTTTTAGTTAAAAATATGATTAATATAGCTTCTTTTGAAAAATGTCTACTTCCATATTTAATGAAAACTTCGTAACATTTTAACCAAAAAAATGATTTTGCAACTCATGAATTATGACAAAGCCGAGAAAGGATTATATTGTTTCCCTAAGCTGGAACTTGAAGCCAATCGAGGAATACTATATTTTTAAATTCTGTGCACCATGTTATATGGAGATTTGTATAAAATGCAATAATTCTTCTACGATGCGAATTTAAAAAAATAATAGAATTGTAATTTCGTATTTATAAATGATATAAAGCTTACATTTAAACCAACTAAATGCAAATTTAGATTTTTTCTTAAAATTTGTATTTTCATTATTATTAATTATGTTGTAGCAAATAATTTAGTTAACATTAAGTTTACCACAAGGCAATCTCTGCCTTTAACAAGATACAAGATACGACATCCAATTATTCAAAACTATAAATAAAAACTAAAAACAAAATTTGAGAATTAGAAAAAATTCACAAAAATTTTTGTAAACGCTTTGCAGAAAAAATTAACACTTTTTTTCAATATGAAAAATTTGAATTCTTAACTAGAGTACTTTATAAAAATAAAACTTAATTTACAGCTCACACATTAATGATGCATTATTTTTGCTGAAGAGATATTTTTCTATACTTAATGGTAGTTAATTATTCTGCTATAAGAACACAACAAGATATTTCAATTTAACACGTAATTTAATCCTCAAGGGAAAATTTGAAATAAAAAATCAACTTCTGTCTGAATAGTTTTGAACGTGACTTTATGATGGTTCAAAGAAATATTTCAGCGATCGCAATCATTTCGGAAGGGTGAGCAAAGATAACAGCGAACGCGTCTCGTTCAAAACAACCAATTTTCCGCGACCCTTGGCATGCAAATCGAGCCGCGCATTTCTCTCGCTGGCATTCGCCGCCGACGTGCACAGGGCAGCGAGATATCACGCGCCACAATCGGCCCATTATTAACCGATCGGCGGGGGGCGGGGGTGGGTGGATGCGAGAGCGATAATCATGCGCTTCGCATTTACAATCAGTTCATGGGTAAGTGGATTATGGGTCGAGTGATGCATGTCATTAGTCATCCTTGCAGATCCCCGAATGCAGATCGCAAGACCGTCTGCCGACCAGAGCTAGAGCGTCTCGGCACAGCTCGCGCAAGCACCCTTTGATCTCGGCGCTTTTCCCAACCACTTGATTTGTATGGTAATTGATACAAGGCTAATTTATTTTAGATGTGCTGGGGGTGGGTTCAATTTTATAGTTCCTTTGAGGCTCAAATCTGCATTTCATTCTTTTAAAATGAGTTTCATCAAATTTAAAAAAAGGCAGAAAATTAATTTTTTGCATCAGAAAAGTTTAAAGTTGTATGTAAAATTATTTGAATTTTAAATAAACAAGTTTGGAATTTGATTTTTGTTTTATTTAATAAAAAATAATTTTGAATGGTTTTTTTTATTAAATATTGTATAGTTTAAATTTCTGATTAAACAAAAGGGGCAATATTTTGCAATATTTTTTCAATTTGAAACTGGATTGTATTATGTAATCTTCCCACGCACCCATATTTCAAGGTCAAGTTTACTATTTCCCCTAAATTTTTCGTTTACACTAACCAAGCCACCCACGAAACACACTTTTCTTCCGCATCAAGAATCCAAGCGAGAAACCTCATAGCAGGTTCTGCTCCTTTATCAGCAGCAGATGGAGCGTCGTAATGAAAGAAATAAGTTCTTACAAGAAGGACAAAATAATTCTCCACTTAAAAGGCACAATAAAACTCGACAGCGTCCTAGTTCCTTTGTGCGGCGACTGAAGAAGCAGAAAATGTTTTATTGCGAGTTTTTTTTTATTCTTATCTCCTCTCTTTCCATTATGAACCAATAAAAAAGTTTACCCAAGCGACCGCCTTGTGTATTTAAAAATTACCTGGATAATGTAGCGGAGAATTTGTATTTTACTTTTTTACAAATTATATTGTTAATGCGTTATGTGAATCTCAAAGGGGTGCAATTCTGCGAGAAAAAATTATTTTCTCTATGGTGGAATATATTTTTTACCCTCCTGCTACACATATGTGCTTCCAAAAGGAGTTAAGCAAACACACGGCGGATTCAATGCAATGCGCAAAAGATGCTTTTGATCTTGTAATACCCGTTTTTTTTTTACAAAATCATATTTTCCTGAGAAAAGCAAATAAAGAAGAGTTCTGCTGCTACCTGCTGTGCATTTTTATCCCGGAGATCTTCAAAAAGAAGCGATTTTA